GCAGGGTTTAGGGCTGTTGTGCATAGGGTCGCTATGAGCTGCAAGCGACTCGAAGGCACATAACAACAACAACAACAACAAGAAGGAGAGGGGAGGCAACTGGGTGTGTAAATCTGAAGCTCAGGACCGAATTAAATAGATGACTTTTAGATGCGGGAGACATCAATCACAGCAGTGAACAAAGTGGCCAGTAATTAAAGAATGAGGAGACAATGACTAAGTCTTCAGTATACATAAACAGCCAGTGACAGGAAATTCAATAGAGCAGGATCACTGAAATGGAGGGAGATGGCTTTCAAGAATCAATGAGTGGTCCAATGTTACAGAGTGCTCAGGCTAGTATGTGAAAGAAACTGTCCAATGGATCTAGAAATGAAAAAAGCTGCAGGAGTGTGACAAAGGTAGAAGTCTGAAGAGAATCAGTTTAGGAATAAAGAAGTATTAAACATATTTTAAAAACTTTGCTATTAAAAATATCCCAAAAAACTTTGCTGTATAAAACGTGGAGGAGCCTTAAAATAATTAAGTGAAATAATCTGATACCAAAGGAATATATCAGATAATAACATTTACACAAAATAAGTACAATAGGTAAAATTGAGGTAGGAAATGGAGGTGAGGGACTGCAACATTAATGAGAAATAACTGCTTAAAATGAGTTTCTCTTTTGGGTGATAAAATGCCAAGGAATGAGAAAAGAAGGTCAACACAGTAAATGAACAACAAGACACTAAAACTCATTGTCAAGGAGCTGCTTCTTATAGTGACTAACATCTTACAGTGACATGCAGATTATGAACAGACTCAAACCTGCTGCCACTAAGTCTGTTCAGAATCACTGTGACCCTCTATCAAGTTTCAGGGGCTACAAATCACAAAATCAGTCTTACTCTAAACCTCACACTTTTTCAAGTATATCATATCCTCCACTACCCTAAGGAGTCATTTTTAACATTTTTAAGATTTGGTGCTGAGCGGTGGTTTGGTTTTCTTTTTTTCCAGTAAGAAATCCATGCAACATAGAACTAACCATCTTCAAGTGAGAACTTCAAAGCATCTAATTCTTTTAAAGGCAGGGAGTTCTTGATAGCACAGTCTGTGGCAAGTTGTGCTGCTTACCAAAGGCTGCCCATCTTTCATAGCAGCTCCAAGGGAGAAAGGTGGGCTGTCTACTCTGGTTTAAATTCACAGCCTTGGGAACCCTGTGGAGTGTCACTATGAACTGGAATAGACTCAATGGCAGCAAGGTTAAGCTTATTCATAAACTCGATGGTCCAAGCAATTTACTTAGTCCCCAGAGCCTCCAAATACTTGTAGGATTATTGAAAGGATTAGAGATTATATGAATACTTGGACAAGGAAACAGATAAATAACTGTCAGCAATTTACTGTTGCTGCTATTAGGGGTTATGAGTCCACTCGAATGCAAAACAACCCTATGAGCAACAGAGCAAAGTCTTGCTTGATCCTACAACTCTCACCTTCTCCAACATGTCAGAGGTCACTGTTACAGGCCCTGTGTCAATCCACTGGTTCAGGGTCTTCCTCTCTTTCTCTGAACCTGCGCTCTTCCCAGCATAATGTCTTTTTCTGATGTCTGGCCCTTCAAGACAACATGCTCAAATTACTTGAGATGAAGTTTCACTGTTGTTGGCTCTAAGGAGCACTCTGCTCACTTTTCCTCCAAGACAGATTGGTCTGTTCTTTTGGCACTCCATGGGATATTCAATATTCTTCAAAGGCAGTGATTTGTGCTAGGCCTTCTATTCTCATTGTCCAAGTTCCAGAAGCAAGTGACAAGTCTTTAAATTGGTATCTTTGCTCTTTAACACTGTAGAGAGGTCCTTGATAGATTTTCCCAATTCAACACTTATTTTGATTTCTTGACTGCTGTTACCATGGGTGTGTTGACTGTGGATACAAGTAAAATAAAATAGTTCACATCAATCTTAGTAGTAAGGAGATGCACTGCCAAACCAAAGGTACGTGGTTCAAATCTATCAGTTGCTCTGCTGGGAAAAAAAGGGTAATCTCCTCCCATGTGATTAACTGCCCCTGAAAATCTGCTGGAGGGTCAAATATGAGTTGGTTCCAATTCACAAGTACGTAACAATATCATGATATACTGCCTACTGGTCCAGTAGAGAGGATTTTTGATACTGAAATGTAATCTATATTGAAGGTTGTAGTCTTGATTTCTTCAGTAAGTGTTTCAACTCTCCTTCACTTTCAGCAAATAAGGTAGTGTCATCTGGAAATGCAGGTTGCTGACGAATCTTTCTCCAACCTGATGCCATATTCTTCTTCATAGAGTAATTCTTCTAGAATTATTTGCTCAGCACACAGACAGAACAGGTACAGAGAAAGGATACAAGCCTGAAACACACTTTTCCTGATTTTAAACCATGCAGTGTTTCTTTGTTCTGTTCAGATGAATGCTTCTTGGTTGAGGTATAGGCTTTGCAGGAGTATAATTAAGTGTTCTGGGATTCCTATTCTTCTCAACTGTATCCATAATTTGTTATGACCCACAAAGTCAAAGATCTTTGCATAGTGGGTAAAGAGTTGTTGCCAACCTACAAGTATGCAGCTTGAATCCACTTACCACTCCAA